CACCTGTAATCTCAGTGCTAGCAAGGACGGGCAGGAGGATTGTTATGAGTTCAAGACAAGCCTAGACTACAGAGACTTCCAGAATTCCAAGGTCTAACAAGCCACTATGTGTTGGGATCCTGGTGAAGTGGAACTCAGTGCTGAGCATACATAATCTATGCATCTACAGCAGGGCTCAAATCCACCCTCTCGGGACACCTTTTCTTGCCTATGTGGAATAAATCTATTGAGCTACTAAATAAAACTGAAATTAAAACTAAGAAAATTTTAGAATTTTATTTACTAACTCAATTCACAAATATCTAAAATTCATTAAAATATGATAAACTAATATATGTTAACACAAAACAATCTTATGAAAAATAGCTCTATCTTCTAAAGCAATAAAAAATTAGTTTGAGGAAATGTCATTGTTTTACATTTTGGCAAATTCCTTTAATGTCTAGTTTAATAAAAAACAGCTGATTCTTTTATGGATTTTTTTCATTCAACCTGTTTCAATTATCATACTGGAAAATGTCAGTGTATTTTCATGAGAAAAAGATTGAACAGAAAATAAATCCTCATATTCAATTTAAAATTGGCCTTAAAAGTCAGTATTAGCATTTAAAAATATGACTCTTACAGCTTCCTACATTTTCAAAGACAAAAATCCCCTCCTCACTGCCAGGATTCCTCACTTGACACCTAACCACTATACTAGTGCCTACTATACAATTATCCCTTAGGAAATAGTTGCTGGATTAAGTAAATAAAACTACACGCTGTGTTGGGGCTATCTAGGTTACCAAGAATTCCTGCTCTCAAGGAGTTTGTATGCCACTGGAAGAAAGGCAAATATTTACAAAATTGTACTATTAATACAATATGAGAGGAAAAACAAGATGCTATGGAAGATTAGACGGTGTGCGACCCAATCCGGGGAGATCAAAAAAGGCTTTAAGGGGGACAATGGTTAAACTGAGACAGAATAAACATCAAATAAGAAGTGTGAGAAAGGAGAGGAGACTGGAGTGTGCAGTAGAGGGGCAGCAGAACTTGCTACAGTCGAGCCTTGAAGGGAGCGGGCCAGAAGTGTGGATAGATATTGAAAGTTTTCTAAAAAAATGTCTGAGGACTAAACAGGAGACTGGAATGGCTAAGGCTTAGAATGACCACTATGGGTATAGGTAAGAGTGAGCTGAATATAAGGCAACAGGCACAAAAGTTGCTATGAGGAGTCAAGTCAAGAGAAAATAGCTATCTGAAAATAACGGAGATGGAAAGAAACGGAAGCAGAACTGAGAAAGGAAACTTGCCTGGGTTTCCTGATGATCTTTGGAGGACATGGCGGAGTATGATATCCCGATTTCTGGCTTATACGGCGGGATCAATGATGATACCGTTTGGAGATCTGAGCGAATACAGGCATAACAGCATTTTAGTTTGGGATGCTATGTTTTGAGATTCCTTGGATTATCCAGGATAGACATTTTATTTATTTTTATTTTATGTGCACATTTGTCTGTCTTGTTCCCTGGGACTGGAGTTACAGACATTTGTGAGCTGCCATGTGGATGCTGAGAATTAAACCCAGGTCCTCTGGAAGAGCAGCCAGTGTTCTTAACCACCGAGCCATCTCTGCAGCCTTAGGATAGACATTTTAAGGTATGTAGACTTTATAGTTAAAAGGGACAGCAGGACTTGAAATTTACACTTTGTCAGCACACATGATCATAGATTCCAGGGAGACCACAAGAAGACTGTTAAAGGTGAGATGGGGTGTAGGATGCCACAGTGGATAAAAGCACTTTCTGGGTAACCTGATGAGTTTTATTATTGGAATCAATGATGAAAGAATAGAACAAATTCTCTAAAGTCCGTTGACTTCTGCACATATGGTATACATGCATATATACTACTATAATAAATTACTTTTTAAAAAGTGAGATACAGACTGGGTGAGATGCCTCAGTGGTTAAGTTCACTGGCTGATCTTCCAGAAAACGTGGTTTCCATTCCCAGCACCCACATGGCAGTTCATATCCATATGTAACTCCAGTCTCAGGGCATCTGAAGCCCTCTTCTGGACTCTTTGGGCACCATGTACACACATGGTACACAGACAAATATGCAGACAAAATACTGATACACATACAATAGATACAGCGTGTATTGCACACATACACACACACAAATGAGACAGGAACAAATCAGTTTGAACAACTTCTAGGCGCATGACATTTAAGTGATGGAGAGATAATCCTAGAAGGCAAGATTAAAAATAAGCTAGAGATCTTGGAGAAAACTAGAAAAGCATGGTTTTACAAATCAAAAGATGGAAATTTAGGAAACTATGGTTATTAATATCTAAGTCTTCAGAGAAGTTGATTAAAACAAGAAAAAGTTCTACTCTGTTGAAAAACTAAGTACTGATGATGTTATGAAGAATTTAGGTAGTGTGATAAGGGAAAAATCCTGAAGCTTATGGACTAGAATAACAAATCTATTGAGAGAAGTTCCTGAGAAGACAGAGAAGACAGAAAGGTGTGCTTCAGAGACGGCAGAAGGGGAAGGAAACACCTTACCCATAGCACCAAGTCAGAGGTGTGCAGGCAGTCTTGTGAGTGAGGAAACAATTCGTTGTTAATAGTAATTTGTTTTCTGAAAATAAATGAGAGATGGCTTGACAATAATGCAGAGTATCTGAAGATTATGTTGTTAAAGTGGGAAGAAGAGTTAACTAGGGTAATAAGCATTGTTTGATGAATTAGGCAGTTTACTTGATTTGTACATTGTAAATATATAGAAAATAACCTACACAGTAAGCCCAGAATTTTATATCAATCTTTTCAAAGCTTTTTCTGAGTTAGGTTAAGATCAAGACTTTATTTTGTGAACAAATGTAATACTGAAGACAGCACAATAGAAAGACTATCAAATGAGCGCAATTCTCTCCTTGTTTACTTGTTTACATATCATTTTCAACATATGCACCGTATATAACATCAGCTACTAAATCTCTTTCTAAGAAAGCTCCACATCGTATAATCTCATTTCCTGTAATCTTCCAAGAATTTTTAATGGAAAGCACTAGTTATTATCTGAGGTAGACTTGGTATAGCACAACTATATCTTTGACATTATATTGAGAATTTGTCCATTTTCAGGAAATGATGCAACTCATAATTCACTAATCTTAGTGAGAATCCGATTTTACTTTATAAGCTCTCCCCAAAGAAAGTTACTAACAGAGACAGAGACAAATATTTTCTTCTTTATAGATTATTAAATTATATCAGTAATAGTATTTTGTTTAATTTTACACTATAACCATTATAAATTAACTATATGTAAGAAATATTAGTAAGCTTCTACTACGCACAGGACATGCATAGTAATTAATATATTAAATTCTAACAGAAACCTTGTAAGCCTCTATAGGAGGAAACTTTATCACAGAAAGTTAAGGAATTTATACTAGACCACATACCTACTATTGTAAGGTTGGATTTGAACCTAAGCAATCTAACTTTGTAGAACCTGTCTATTCTCTACAGTGCCTTTTTCAGGTAAGAAATTTAATGAAGTTTCCTAAAGTAAAATGCTCACTTGAACTTTAGCAAATTTAACAGAATGAATTGGTTGGCAGTTAAGGTGGAAGAGACTTAAAGAGCAGTTGTAAAAATGTAGACTGAGGAACATAGATCAAGATACAATATAACTGCTTTTCTTAGATAAAATTTCTTTCCTTATGAACAAAAAGCTACTTGGAAATATGTCAAGTACACAGAAAACAGTTGCAATCGAACACCCATGTAGCCTATACCTAATTTTAACATACCTTAAGTTTGGGCTGCCACATTTTCTACAGATTACCTCTCTAGAAAATAGTAATAGGTACAGTGGAACATTTCCTGTTACATTCCCTTCTCTGCCTCAGTAAAAGTGGCTATTATTTTAGATCTTATATGTGTCATTTATGAGGCTTTTGCACTTTGATTCTACGGCTTCTCATTTAAAAGGCTTTATTTATATTAGAGCATCTCTGCAACTTGCTTCCCCCCTCGATATTGTGTTAATGTACTTATCCATATTAACGCTAGTGGCTCAGTTCGCCGAGTGTCATCATCTAGCAGTGTGTCAACTCTTTAATAACAGTGCAACTTACCGACTCCATTAGTACTGTTTCACTGACATAACTACGCTGCTCGGAAGATTGCTTTGGTGTTCACAGTTAACTTTGTATACAAAATTCCTTAAGGAGCTCAACTTTCCAGCCAGGGGAGCCATCGGTTTCAAGAAAGGAACTAAAGACAGGAGTGACTCCTAGCAAACTGCGAAAACTCTCACTAGGATGCTTGTGAGGGAAGGTTCCAAAATGACACCTCCCGCCTTTCACCAACACCCTCAACTGAGTTTCACACGTGTTCATTCATTTCCTCCCTCAGAGCGGAGCGGGGACCAAGGTGAGTCAACAGGAGTGCGGCGGTGCAGAGCCCGCAGGGGAAACCGCACAAGCCGGCCTCCCCGCTGCGCCAGAACACCAGAAATGACCAGAAGGAGGTGTGGGGCCAGCGGGGCCTAATCTCACAGTCCACCCAGAAGGTCCCCGACGCGAGGGGACGGGGTGGGTGGCAGGACAGACACCTGCCAGCGTCTTCTCCTTCACAAAGACCGCAGGTCCGCAGAAGGGCCTCAGCGGGCCCCCACCCTGAAGGCACTTTTCCAATAGCTGACTCCAAGCAGCGCCTCCCAGCCTTACGCCAACTCCGTAAGGAGCCGCGGAGGCCAACCCCGCGCTCCCACTGCTCCCAAACCTGACGTGAAATTGCGCGGGGCGGCACTGGCGGCGGCCATCTTTAGTTCGGGCAGGACCCCGCCCTCGCGCCCCAGCCCCCCGCTCCCATTCCGAAGTCCCCAGGATTTTCGGTGACAAAAGCAGCGCAGTTCGTCTTGGAAGAGGTGCAGAAGAAACATACAAAAGACCCCACTGTCCACGACAACGGAAGTGCCCAGGCGCGGCCAATGTAAACATGGCGGTCCGGGAGGCGCAGCGAATCGGCGGCGGCGCCAGTGAAGTCATGCTCGACGCGAAGCTGGGCGGCAGGCGGCGGAGGTGGGTAATCTCGCGAGAACACAGCCGCCTTGGCTCGGCCCGGAAGCCTCAGGGCGGGCGAGAGCCAGTGGGGCCGTCCGCCTGCTGCCGTGTGCGTAAGTGGGGCAGCGACGCCGGGCGGCTACGCCGCGGAATTGGCGTAGGTGGCTTTGGAGAATCCGGCGGCTGCGCCGCGCCGGGGCTGGTCGCGGAGGGGGAGGGGATGTCGGTCAGTGCGAGATCCGCTGCTGCCGAGGAGAGGAGCGTCAACTGCAGCACCATGGGTGAGCCTCAGCCCCCGGCCGCCGGGCCATCCCGGCCCGGGCTCGGGACGCGCGGACCCTCGGCGGCCTCCGGCCGAGTTGGGGAACGCCCTGGGGGCCAGGGGGGCGAGCGGCGCGGCGGGGAGGCGGAGGGCCCGGGGCGCGGCGGCCGGGGGGAGGGGAGGGGAGGCGGCCGCGGTGACAGTTTGAATTGAGCCGAGCCGAAGCGGCGGCGTTTCCTGCGCCTTGGCGGGCAGGCCGGGGGAACGGGCGGGCGGGCTAGCGAGCCGCGGCCTCTGAGGCCCGAGCCGCCGGAGCCGCCCCGTCCCAGCCCAGCCCTTGGCTTCCTCCGAGGCCACAGCCTTTCCTGCGTCTCCTCCGGCCCTCGGCCCCGCGGCCTTGCCTGCCCGGGTCTCCCGCCGGAGCAGCCCGGCCAGAGGTCCCCTCGCGGCTGCGGGGGCCGGACGATCAGGGTGGGGATCCGTGAGCGAGCTCGGTGCCGGTTCTCCGTGGGCCAGCCGGGGAGGGAGGAAAAAAGGGATGCGCGGGGCTGGGGTGGAGGTGGCGGAGGAGGCTGCAGCACTTCCAACAAACGTGCTGCTGCTGCTCCCTTCCTCTTCTCCGGGCACAACCAGAAAGGCTGGTGGATGGCGAGCGGGTCGGGAGACGCATCCCGAGCTTGGCTTGGGTTTAAATTTAGGAAAAAGGGAAAGAGACAGTCCGGAAAGGGCGCCCCCCGGAGGAGGTGTAAAGGATGGGAATGGTGCCTGGAAAAGAGGAGGGGGTGAGCCGACACGGACTGGAGAAGTTTAAGGAAATTAATTTTTGAAAATAATTTCAGTATTCTGTTTTTCTCTTAAGCCTTTTCATTTCCTTTCCTCCCCCACATGCTGGAAAAGGAACAGGCCATTTCATTCATATTTTCCACTCCAGAGTTCCATTCCGTGCTTTTATGTAGTGTGAAATAAGCGGCTGAATTATTCGTACTCATTTCTTTTTGCTGAGTTACTTTTTAGAGTACACTGTTGCAAGTCTGAGTTCTTTGAGTTGAAGGGATAGAGTCTGTGATGACCAGATGCTTGCTAAGTTACCGAAGTCATTACTTAACTACTTAAATCTTGGCAAGTTTATTGCTAAATAGTTCAACTTTAAGAGTTACTTATTTTGGATCTCTTAATTTTGATGAAAAAGAAAACTATCTTTCTGATGGCCTCTGAGTAATCACTCTAACCTAAAGTGACAAGCATTTATTTATTTATTTTTATTTATGAGCATTCATTCAGGTTGTGAGTTGAGGAAGCTCTTAGGTTTCATGCGTCCAGCAGAAGTGCAGCCTGTGGAATCCCAGGAGACTGAAGGATGGACTAACAGCACTAGGGAAAGAGTAGGGGGTGATGGGGGAGTGGAGGCAGGAAACACCCTTTCATTACATCCAGTTGAATGGGACTAGAGTAGATAGGGCTTGAATGAAGCTGTAAAAGAAGTATGGAAACTACATTGGTAGTTTTCACGATAGCAATGTGTCTTCAGTGATAGAGCAATGTGATGGAGAGTAAGGGAGGGCTCTGTCTGGTTCACAGTCTTAATTAAAGCGCACCTTACCATGACTAAGAACTTTGGTGTCAGACATCGACTCAGATCAGCTGCCCCTTCTGCTGATGTATCTGTCATATTAAGTTAGTGCTTCACAAGCAGGTGAGTGGTTTTTCTCTTTTATCCCTACTTAAGTCCCTTCCTTTATTCCTACAGCACTGAAAATCCAAAGTACTGTAAATATCTTTTAAACAGAATGAGAAAGACCATGAAAGTCCCAACTTTATTATTAGGTCCAATATTCAGAAAATGGTCCTGTTGTTAAAATAATTTCCGAGAGAGGGGCTACAGTTTAGTTGCAAAGCATTATTAGCCCTGGGTTTGGTCTCCAGCTTCAGTTCCCACAAAGATGTCTTACTTTGTGCTTAAAATTTCTATACATTTTATACATAAACGTACTTTCTTTCATACACTGGTCCACCTTGCTTTCAGAATAGTTAGCTGGATTAGGGTGTTGTGCGGTAATTTCTGGGTAGCTAAAAATGGGATTTTATCAGTTGTATTAAAGATTATGTACTTGCAGCCAGTAACTTTACTGTGTAAACTGAGAAGAGCAAAGTATACCTTGTGTTTGAAAGAATGGCACCAGGCTGCTGCCATTTACATTATTTTGAGGGTTTTAAGGCTTGCAGATTCATGTGTTTGTGTTTTAGTCTGTATTTGCTTTACAAAGACTATAAGGAGCCTCATTAATCCAAAAGTTTTAAGGCATCTCCCTTTTTATTTTTAAATTTTAAAAGTTTGTGTATGAGTGTGTATGTGTGTAGGGGCTTGTGGAGTTTAGAGGACAGTTTGTTGGAATCAGCTGTCTCCTTTCACTGTGACTGTCACAGAATCAACCTCAGGAGGTCAGGCCCGAGAGGCAAGTAAGTGCCTTTGTACCCTCAGCACATGAAGTCTGTTTCATTTTACATCTGGAGCCGTAACTGAATCATTTTGGTAGTTTTCTCGAATGGAGATGAGCCTCCATTCGGTTTCTCAACCTTAGAAATATTAACATTTAGAGTTTATTTTTGTTATATGAATACGACCTGTAGGTTCATGTGTGTATGTGTGGTGTGTGTATGCGTTCATATTATATGCTTAGTATTTCTTAAACTTGAGAATTAGGATTATCTAGGTAGCTATTTTGCTCGCTTCCTTCCTTTTTTCTTTCTATTTTTTTTTTTTGGTAAGTTTATTTTTGATTCACTATTTTTTTCTTTTTTCTTTTCCTAGCACGTATCTGACATTGTGCTAGATCAGTCAGTAGATTCAGAGTATAATTTGTGATTCTTAAATATATAGAGTCAGCTATGACCTTGTGTTAGAAAATGCAGATTATCTGGGTCCCAGAAATGTTCCTTGATTCACAGTATCTAGGAGAGGAGCTTAGGAGCCTTCATTCCCAAGTGTTTCCCAAATTAATAACTTTTTTTAGGTACAATTTTTATACTTTAAAATTTGCAAGTTTTAGGCACTTACTTCAAGGAATCTTGATATAAACACATATGCATCTATAGCCTTACTTACATACCAGTCAAGGTATTGAATGTTTCTAACATCTTGACATTTCCTTGTGCGTATTCTCCACCCCATGCCTTAACCTTGTTGTTCCAGGTAACCACTGATCTGATTTCTGATAGTCATTGATTAGATTTTTAAAAGCAGTTTATTGAGATACATACTTATTTTGTATCGAAATACTTTCTTCTGAGTAGTTTTTAAAGTTTTTCTTTCCTTTTTTGTGTGCAGTGTTTATATATGTACTTGTGTGCTTGTGCGTGCGCGTGTGTTTTGTGTCCTTCTGTATGTTTCTGTCCATCCGTCCATCCAAGTATAGCAGCCAGAGAACAATCAGTGGTATACGCCTTCCTCTGTGGTCTCCACCTTAGTTTTCTTTTTGGTATGTGTTTGTTGTGCTTATGGTTTTGCACATGACTGCGGGAGCATATGCCTATTTGTTTGCTTGCAGGAGCCAAAGGAAGACATTAGGTACATTTGAAGCTCACTGCTTTGGGATCCACTTGTCTTTCCCCTCAATCCTGGGGTTAGAAGCATTTGCAATAATGTCTAACTTTTTTTGTGTATGTGTATGGGCGTGGTGGTGGAGATGTGAATTTAGGTCCTCATACTTTTAATAAATGAGTCACCTCCCCAGCCCATTCACTTTTTTTTTTTTCTTTTGGTGGGGAGACTCGCACTGAACCTAGAGCTCACTGACTGATTGAGTAGACTAATTGGCTGGCAAACCCCAGACATCTGTTGTCTCCATCTCCTGCCCCTCAGCACCAGGGTTGCAGATGCTTGTTGTCACATTTGGGTTTTATGGCTTATACTTGGGTATTGGGGATCCAAACTGAGTCCCTCATACTTGCGTGGCAAGTACTTTACTGAATACGTTATCTCTCCAGCCCCTTTCTTTATTTTTCAAATGTATAAAAAATTTTTTAGAAGTTGAAAGGTCACATAATTCTAGTAACTTTCTAGAATTATATAAAGACTTGGGATGAGTCCCTGGAAATCTGATTAACTTTTTCAGCAGTATAAAAACTGTTTTTTAATAGTCTTGTAATGGCAGTTTCATATATTGTAAGCTTTTTTTCTGTTCTGTTTTGTTCTTTTGGTTTTTCTACACAGGGTTTCTCTGTAGCTTTGGAGCCTGACTTGGAACTAGCTCATGTAGTCCAGGCTGGCTTCAAACTGAAAGAGATCCACCTGCCTCTGTCTCCTGAGTGCTGGGATTAAAGGCGTGCACCCCCATAGCCCAGCCTTTGAAAGCTGTTTTCAAAGATTTAACAAACATTGCCTTGCATATACTGTTGTATTTGTATTTTGTATTTTTTCTTCTGGAATTGATTTTTGTTCCTCCTCATACCTTTTGTGTGTGTGTGTGGGGGGGGGGGAGGGTGTCTGCCCAGACGTGGAACTCATGTAGACCAGGTTGGTCTAGTTCACTCAAAGATCCACTTGCCCACTTGCTTCTGACTCCACCTGGGATTAAAGGTGAGCACCATCATGCCTAGCTCCTCCCCCAATCTTTAAAGTCATTCAGTTTCCTACTCTTCAGGTCACCTACTTTAAACAGTTTCTTGTATGTACGCTGAAGGATTTAAAAAAGTATGGAATTAAAAATCATATAGACATCCTGTCCTATGACATCTCTTGCCTCATTTTCCCCAGCTAATCTATTTTAGATTATCAGTATGTAAAGATCATTCTTATTTTGTACTGCTATGTAAATTCTTTATATGGTGTTTTAGTCTGTCTGTGCTGTGATAACAGCATACCTAAGATTGAAACAATTATAAAGAACAGAAACTCGGTTCTTACAGTTTTGGAGTCTGGGAAGGTCACTATTCACATGCCAGCAGGTTCATTAGCAGGTTATAGCCAACAATGTTTCTAAGTTGGTGCCTTAGATGTGGCTTCCTAAGGAAACAAGTGCT